CTCTCTCTCTCTCTCTCTCTCTCTCTCTCTCTCTCTCTCTCTCTCTCTCTCTACCCTGAAGGCAGCAGCAGGTTTCCAACTGGCGGTCGGTCAAACAGCAACAGTTTGACCTGCAGAGAGAGGGAACCTGTTCCCTCTGCAGTGTCCCGGTCATCTGATGCCTTTTTTTAGCTGCCCTCCAGGAGGCGACGAGTTTTTGTTGTTGTTGTTGCTGGGATGAACAATGGATAAAGCTGGGAAAAAAACTTAATATGCATGATAGAGCCAAAAGTAAAAATATAATAAAAAGTTGTAAAATAAATATTCTTTAGTCATTGCTGTCACGTTTTATTTAAATCAATAATGAACACAGAAAGTGATTTAGAAGCTTTACATTTATCCTCTCAATTAAGACTTAGGCTAATGGTTTTTTTTACTCTTAAAAACTGAAATGTGAATGACAAAGAATTAGAAATAGGCCAGATCAATGGTGTTAGTAATCTTTATAAAAATCGTTTATTATACAGGTATTTGTCACCAATCTCAATATTTCTGTTAGCTTTTCAAATTTAAATATCAGTTTTGTAAACATAATCTGGATGTCTTGGATAAGCTGACACATATATAATTTATATAGCTGCTTGTCTGAATAAATGGATATCATAGCTACCAAAAGTAACTGCACTGTCTGTTAGCAAAATATCGCATGAAACAGCAAACAGAAATATTTCTAAAACTACCCGTAATCATCAAACAGACGCCTAACTTCTGAAGTGAAAACAAATCAGAGTGGTTTCCAATTGATCTTAAAAAACTAAAACATTACAATTTTACAGATATTCTACTAAAAATAAGTGTGGTATGGCAAGTAATTTACAGCATGCATTACAAGCACCACACATTGGTGAACACTGTCTCAAAATTACTCATAACTGACAATAATTTTGGTCGTATCTATAACAGACAGTGCAAATCAAGATGGCCACCACAGCTAATTAACCTAAGTCAAATTAGTAAATGCTGAGGTAGGATTTTGTATCCTTTAAACTCTAATATCTCACAAGGTCTCACTAAATGAAACTAATGACCAGATGGCTGTAACTCTGTTCCTTCTCATAATGAGACTCTTCAAAATAAAAGGTGGTGGGCAATATTCTTTCAAGAAATGCTAGGCCTTTAATTATGATTTATAAAAGGACTCCTTGTCAGCTGTAGAAATCAGAAATTGAAACAAATTCAATAAAATGACAAAGTCCTATTTGTCATTATTTCAAAAGGTTTTATAACTTTTCAGCATMTCAGCACTCGTTGAATAAATCCTTCAGTGAACCAGCTCCCAGTGTTTCACAGTAACATGTTGTTGGACTGTTTTCTTTCAGACTCTGTAACAATTTAACTGATGCTCCCTAATTCAGTCACTGCTTCTTTAGACTCTTCTGCAAGTTGACTGCTGCCTTCAGAACCAATTCAATTAGCTTGGAATTAGGTGTCCAATGATTGAGGCAAACATCTGTCTTCATGAACTCTAACAGATGTTGCTGTTTTTCACAGTGAAAACCAAAGCCACAAATTTAACCGTACTGTTTGTCGAGGTTTGAGACCAAATCGTGTTAGGGCTCAGAGCTGTAGACAGATTCAGACAATTTCTCTGCCACATTTAAATAAGTCAAAAGCTCAGCAGCCTGTTGTGGTGTTTCTGTGCCATGGTTGTGGGTTTTCCTTTTTGTAWTAGTCTTTGATACATGGTTTTCATGTATTTTAGAACTTTTTTGGTTGTTTGGAGATATTTCATTTTGTCAGGTTGTTTTGTTGTGTCTCAGCTCTCCTCTTTCAGTTCAACACACCTGTGATACATTTGTAAGTATGTGTCCCAACTGGTGGCTGCTCATCACTCCACCTGTAAAAATTAGTTTAAAAAATATCCATCCATTATTTGRACCCACTTCTTCCTTTCAGGATCACACGGGTCACTGGTGTCCATCCAGCAGACAATGTGCAAAGGGAGTTGCAAACGAGACAACCATTCACTCTCTCACTCACACCTAGGGTCAATTTAGAGTTATCAATTAACCTAACCATCATTTATTTCAGTGTTAATTGAAATCGGCTGTGCTGAAGCAGGGAAACAGCTAAAATATGCAGGACAGCGTGCCATGAGGACCAGGGTTGAAAAACGCACTGATATTTGATCTGTGGGAAGGAACAAACTAACACATGAACTAAGAACAAGCAAACTGTACCCAGAGAGGTCCTCAGCTGGGATTCAAGCTTGCAGAGAGGCAACAGCTGCAACAGAGCCACTGTGTTGCCTATCTTGTTTTTAACGTGGACTACTAAAAAAATAACTTTGACTTGAGTTTTATTTTAAGTACTTTCCAATTAAAGCCAGAATTGTGATGATCTTGTATTTCAGCTTTCCATCAGCTATATGAGGTCAAATGATCCTTTCATTTAACCTGTAAACAGTTGATACCTAAAACATTTCTGAGTACCATTAGAAAGATCCCAATGACTSTGGGTTTTTAGACTTTTAGTACTTTTATTTCACTTTTTATAAGTTTTAGGTAACAAAAAAACCTATTTCATAATGACATTTTCAGTCAACATTTTGATGTTACTATTACTAATAGGAAAATTAATTAAATGACAATAGAAAAAGTATTGAAACATGCGAAACCTCAGTTTATTGGAAATCAGCACTGAGACTGATAGTGTAGAATACTGTATAATTACCATGGAAAATTACAAGCTTTTAACAATAAAGAAGTTGGTGATTAATATAAAAGAAAATATGCAGTTTGTTTTTATATTTTAGTATTTTTGTGTTCATAGTTTTCATAGTATATCTCAAGATTGATGCACTGATGAAGTTGTTTTTATTTTTTTTGCAGAGAAGTTATAAAATGTTGAACTTAAAAACTTACATTTACTATAAAACCTTCAGAGTGTTGCATGTTACAACATTGGGAAAGATTTAACTGTCTGTTTTTATTTTTTTTTTTGGAAAGGTAATACATWAAAATGTGATTTGAATAAATGTGGRTGCTGGGGACTGATTACAACAAGGCTAATATACTTTACGGGTTTTCAGAGTAATCACTTTTTAAAATGTAATTATTTATCTGCAGCTAAAATGTCCTGAACTCAAAGAGAACAAAGATTTGTTCTTCCCTGAAGTGAGACATTGAGATGACATTGGCATTATCAGCAAACAGGTGCAACTTGACAAACTTGATTTACATTTCACAGATGAGGAGTTTGTAGACCTTTTCCCCGCTATTTCATTTTCAATATGTTTGCACCACACAAAGACAGGGTGAGYGTTTAAAACGAAAACACTCGAGACTCCAAGTATTTTAATGGGTTTCGATGGAACAAAAATGTAAAGGAAATTCCCTTTGCTAAATATTGTCCATCTTTGATTTTTTAAAAAGTAAATAAAAAGAGAAGTTTGATTCAACAGGATTTATTAGGAGTTTTAAGGCTTATCAGAATAGGAACATCACTTCTGCGTGCAATAAACAATGTAAGCAGCAAGTAAATGAAGTGAAGAAATTCAGTTTGAAACCAAATATTAAGACTAGTTTGTTTTTTTTAATCCTCTTGAAGCGATTGGACTGGCTCGGAGGCCTGGGGAGCTGCTAATGAGCAGTGAATCTGTCTGTCGGGTGTGATGTTGGTGCTGCTCAATCTGTCCTGTTGATTTAGGGGCTGCTTGTCTTATCTTTGGTTTATGTGCCACGCAGTAAAGCTGAAGGTGTGGGTGGGGGGGATGTGCAGAGGTCACGTAACCACCTGGCTGCTGGACAGCTGCTGCTGGGACACGCTGCCGTTCATTTATGCATGGCCACAGGTTTTCACTACGTGACAGACGGACAAACAGAAAAACAGACGGAAGTCCGGATCTCGTCTGTCTGTTAATTACCCAAATTAATCAAAGCCGTCGGGAAACGTTTCTTTACTCAGATCTGGGCTGTTTGTGTGTGTTGCTTGATAATCAGATCATTAAAAACCAATGATGCTCGTGTTTAGACTGGAACTGTCAACACAGAGGCTGGTTACACAGCTGAAGTGACAAACACACACACATACACACACGTTTGTTATTGAACACCTTCCATTGACTTCCATTCATGTTTTTTAGACTTTATAGCATAACCCTGACCATATACTCTAAAATTAACCTCACAGGTACCTGACCCTAAAACTGACATAAACCTTGGTCCTAAACCTAAACCCACACCCATAATTTGCATTTGGACACGTTGGGACTTGGCATTGGTCTCCATAATTCACTTCAGTCCCCACGAGGCTGTTTTTTTGGGGGGGGTGGTTGTCTCTACGTTGTAGGAAAAACACACACACACACACACACACACACACACACTAATAGAATGAGCATGCAGTGCCACACCAAAACACACAACAGCAACTTAAAAAAAATCCTCCTATCTTCCTTTCATTCCCAGCTGCTGGTTTCATCCTGATGAGGTTTGTCCATGATGTGTGGTGAAACTGCTGAGGTGTGTTTGTTACTGTTGTTGTGATGGAACTCTCTCTCTCTCTCACACACACACACATACACACACACCCACAGACACACAGAGAGATGCTGGTGAGATGAATGAGATTCCACGCGTTGACTGGTGTGTTGGAACGTCTCCATTTATTCCCTTTTATCTGRGGAGGAAGGTGCGTCTGGTTTGGCTCGTCAGGTGAGTGTGTCGGTGCCCATGGCCGTTTGAGACAGTGGAAAATAATTCTCATTACTGTTCAGCACAGGAACAAACAGACAGAAGTAATCCCGGGACAGAAAGAAGCCTCTTTAGGTGGAGCTAAAGATCAGTTTCAAATTTAATTTGTTATTTCAAGCCTCAGTTT